TAAGTCTGGTCCAATCCTCCAATATTTCCATTACTAACAAATTAAAAAAAAAATAAAAATAAAATAAATGTAAAAATTTGTCCAAATATTCATATAACATCAAGCCAATTTTGAATCAAAATACACGAAATAATTGGAGTACAATTTCTTATTCAGATTTTCACCTCCAAAAACAATAATAATTTCCAAATTACAATTAGTGCACAACAACCCCCACACAAACTGAAATTGCAAACCAAACCAGAAGAGAACTCGGCAGCAATTATAATTAATCAAAACAGCAATAAGAAATCTCCCTTTTAATTTGGCTCGGAGAAGAAGCCGTTCACAGACGGCATGATTTGAGGTGATTTATTCCGCACGTATTTTCTCAGGCCGTGTTCTGCATATTTCTCCCCTTCCGCATGATTATCGAACACTCCGGCTTTTCTATTTTCCTTGAGAACCCTGTTTCATTAATTAAATTGGTTATACAAATTTATTTATATATAATTAATATTGTTTAAAAATATGGATGATCTCAATTCTATTAAGGGTCCTTTTGGGGCAGCTTATTTAGTGCGATGTCGTTTTGAAAACGCCTAGACTATTTGGGTAAAGTGTGTTTTGGAAGCTTATGCATTTTAAAAATGCTGAAAATAGTCTTTTTCACACTACACCTATCTTAGATGCGGTGTCTGACTTTTCCAAAATAATAAAATTTTATAATACTCACCGCACATAACTTATCAACAGATTATTTTTAATTTGCTTATCACCAGATTATTCAATAAGCTCAAGGAAAAAAAACTCATAAAAATCACTCTATTTAAGTGTTTTTATTTGGATAAAAAATCATATAAATATGTTCAGATCTTATTTTTATTTAAATTTGTCTTAAAATCATTATGTTTTTTAAGATATATGTTACATAAGAAATTTACCAGATTTCAGAACTAATTAGAATTAATGTATTCCGGTATGTTAATTTGTTAGATTAGTGTTAATTAGATATAAAATCATCTAATTAACAGTAAACCTACGCATTTGCATGCCTAGCATATAATTCTTAATGTATTTCGCTTTAAAAAAAGATGAAATTTTAGATTTGAGATACATAAATTATAAAAAGTATGTAAATGCCCCTGAATAAAACATACTCTTAAAATCGATCATACCTGACTTCAGGATTAGTCGTTATGTTCCTCATCAATTGCAGAGCACAAATACCTACAGCTGTTCCAACTGCTACAAATAGCGGATAGACCTAACCATTCAATCAAAACAATAACATCAATAAAACGCCAAAATCTTCCCCAAATTTTATATATCCACAAATAAACCTAATCTGAAGCACAGAAAAAAGGAAAATTCTAAGAATAATTGGATACCTCAGGCCTCAACCATCTCTTCACTGAGGCCGAAGCCATTAAAGCCACGTAAAGCGTAAAAGCGAATAGCAGCAAAGGAGAGGAGAGGAGAGGAGGAGGAGAAGGAGAATATGAAACAAGCTATTGCTGTAGAGGAATTATAAAA